ATGCGGCGGTCTGCCCTGCGAAGCGAGATATTTAGCGTTAAAGTTGAGGATTCTCAGGTTAGGTTAGGAACCCCGTCGTATCGACGTGATGTAGCGACCTTGAAGCCCCTTGCACAGGTCGCGTTCAGCAGACCAAGCCGCTCAGTAGCGGTCGAACATGATTGGTTTTTACTTTTAGAACCAACCAATCAACGTTTGGTGTTGATAAGACAAACTCAACAGTTGTGTCTGCTGAACGCGGCCAATAGCAAATCATTGCCTAAGGGCCAATTTCACCAACCACAGTTATGCTAGGTCTACAATGCGAGTCGTAAAGTCGTGAGTCGTAAGAATTGACCAATCACAGTCGATTATTCTCCTCAAAATCCATTGTGATTGGTCAATTCAAACGACTCACGACTTTACGACTCGCATTATAGACCTAGCATTAGCTTAACCGATGGTTAAAGTTAGCAGAATTGACCAATAGAAATGAATCCACCCTGCTTTCTATTGGTCAATCCTGCTAACTTTAACCGTCGGTTAAGCTAACTGTGGTTGGTGAAATTGGCCCTAAACTCGCTGAGATAGAAAGAAAGGGAGTATACTCGTGTGCACTCGGGTGACGTTTTCGAACAAAGAACAAACTTCGCGGTCATCGTCGACCTTGCTGCGCATGCGCGGGAAAAAAAAAATCTGTACCAAGTGACGATAGGTTATCGGCGGAATATCGGTGAGTGTCGCGAATTTTTACAATAATACAGATCAAAAGAGAAAAGTTACGAAAGACGCGGGACGACATATCTGCAAATTAACGTATCGATGTGAGAATATATATTAGGTGCACGAGTACGTGAAAAAACCAAGTTCAATGACACAATTACGCGCACCGTCTTTCGTTAACGAGTTAACACGGAGTGGCGAACAAAAAAGGTCGGTCGATATCGGAAAAATTTTCTTTACAATAATAAAGAATAACGAACGACACTTTTAATGACGAGCACTAATTTCAGCACAAACTTCTTAATGACTCTTTTTAAATAAATTTAATAAAAAATTGCTATTTTTATTATTAAACTAATAACTATTGACATGTGATGTGATGCGATGTCAAAATGTCAAACTGTACACGTTCACGCGTCGTTTGGAATTCGTTAAACATTTTGGCCTGCCAAACTAAGCCTTGAAATTTGTCAAAAGATGAAATCTGTAAATGTAAATGTAATTTGCAAAATACCAATATAGGGATTCAAGAAAAAAAAATAGATATAGAGAAAGTTGAAAAGAACTTAGGAGAACGAATAGACGTGGGGAGAAAGGCGATTCTATTTTAATGTATAACTTAGTTTTGGTTATTTTATATTTCAGCAGACTGCCAAGAAGCTAAAAAATGCAGCGCCTAGGAGTTCAGACTATTCGCACCAGCAGAACCCTCTTGGGCAGTAGGTTGTATACCACTGCGCCTGCACAGGAGCAAGTGGTGTCCGCCACCTTCAAGGTTCAGGATCACAAGGATTTCCACGAACGTGTAATGAACTCCAAAGTGCCCGTTATCGTTGACTTCTTTGCCACGTAAGCGTTGCGTAGAACGTTACATAGACAATTGGATTTCATTGCAGTCTTCAGGCTGATTTTTGTATTATCTACTGTCTACCTTCTTCTTAATTGTTATCGTCAAATGTTCCTTTTTCATACAATATTTCATACAAATATTTGAATATAATAGTTACAAAATATTTCAAGTTTTACCATGTGCGTTAAGTCATAAAGGAGACTACATAAAGACTAATAAAGCAAAGGAAATACAGTAAACATTGTGCAAGATTGCTTCTTCCACAGTTTATCTAGATAACAGTAGGATTTGAAAATCAAATCTGCATTTAATTTAGAATTTGCGCAATTGTTCCAGATGGTGTAACCCATGTCGCATGCTGACTCCGAGAATAGAAACAGTTGTTGCCGAAAAACAAGGAAAAGTACTGTTGGCTAAAGTCGATATCGACGAGAACACAGACCTCGCCCTTGACTATCAAGCAAGTGTTTTTTTTTTTGCAATTTTAGTACAATTAAATAGTGATTCCAAGTCATCGGTTGATGATGCACCTAATTTTATAACAAATTTAATGTTGATTTTTTTCCAAGTTTCGAAATTCAGGATTTATAATTGAATGATTGTGCGTCTTTTATTTTACGATTAACTTCGGACTGCGTATTTTATCATGTATTAATTTTCACACAGGTTGGATCCGTGCCTGTACTCATCGCTATGAAGGACGGAAAGGTTCTAGAGAGAATAGTCGGTCTTCAAGATACCGACAAGCTCAGACAATTTGTTAACAAGTATGCGGAGTAGCGCGTAGCCAAAAATTATTATGTAAATTACCTCTGATGGTCGCAGTTTTTGTCAATCCTTGTATAGAGAATTTTTACATTACGCTTCAAAATCCGCACGACTATGTTTATAGTAAATTTTTCTTAGCTACTAAGTAAATGTATCCCGTTATAAATATATACATATATAGATGATATTGTGCAAAACAGGTTTAGATTTATCTCGCTTTGCAGATTTAATAAAAGGTTTTTATGAATAAAATACCATAGCTTAAAAATATAAACATTTTTATTTATGATGAATTGAAATTATGAGATAAAATGACTAATGTTACACATAATGTCGTATGTGAAGCGTCAAATCAATTAATTGCCGCAGTCATCGTGATACAATTGAACTAAAATGTCGGTTCGACAAAAAATGTGTGAAACTTCCTCGCACAAGCTGCCGAAATTTTTCGTATACCATCTCTCGGATCCAACATATTGATGCTGCTCTTTTCGCGATTATTTCTCATGAAATTTTTCGAGGTTCAAATTTCCTCGCTAGGTGATAAAGTCTGTAAAACTTGTCGCGCTCTTTTATAAGGAGTTGTCTTCATAAGCTCTTTCTTGTCTTTCTCGTCCTCCTCCGCCTCAGCTTTTTTCATAAGTTCCATTGCCTTTTCTATTAACGTTTCGCGCGCCGAGCCTCTGCACTTTTCAAAGTATTCCAGAACGATAGGGAAAATTTCGTCACTAATGCTATAGCTGCTCAGTAAATTGTCTATCAACCAGATCTGCCTGAGCTTCTCGAATTTCCATTCGTTTTTACAATGTTTCCACTGTAACAACAATTTATATTCAAAATTTGGGACACTTGAAAAGATCGCCAAAATATTTACGTGTTTACGTAAACAGAAAAAAAAACGCGCACTTGCATTATATTTTCACAAGGTAGTCCAGAATTGACTCTTTAAATATTAAGGATATTAATGAACAATTCTAACAATTCACAACCTACCTTCTTTAGATAGATATATGCCATATTTATGGCACGAATTTCTTTGTCCTTCTTCTTTTCGAGTTTTGCCAGGGTAGCTTTCTTCTTTTTCAACTCCCTTTTAGATAGAGGCTTCTCATTTAAATCTTTCTTTGAAATATCCTTACTGGTAGAAGCGTCGTCACTACAAAAGTTGTTCAATTAAATCCCAACTTCAACTGTATCTTTAAACGTGACTATTCATATCGATTGATCCACGATCTAATATTTCATTAATAAGTCTTTTAATATATAAAAAAATGTTTTAAATATCTTTATGAATAATACAGTTGCTATTAAAGTCTCCTATGTCGAAATTTAATTTAAGATACAATTGTATTTATGGTAGGGTAATATTTTTAAAATCTCTTACGAGGTATCGTTCAGTCTTTTCCTTTTTTTCTTTGGTTCGTCTTGGGCGACCGTTTCCTCCTGCGAACGTTTCTTCGTTTTATCAGTTTGCTGATCATCGTGGCGAGCTATGAAAACATTCATCACATAATATTATTTAACAGGATTTATACGTATATACGGACAATATGCACGACAATGTTCTATTCATTTCCGTTTATTTCTATGTTAGAATTTGCTAGAACATTCTTCTCTTAAGCCCATTCTACAATAGCCGTAAAAGTATGTTTTAAGACGTAAGCAGTAAGCTATTAACTAATGGGATTTTTACAATCCAAGAATGATCGGCTGTAGTTGGTCA